CATTAGCTATAAATTTTTTACATAGGGATCATTAGGTATAAAAATTTTTCATAGGGATCATTAGGTATAATTTTTTTACATAGGGATCATTAGGTATAAAAATTTTACATAGGGATCATTAGGTATAAATATTTTACATAGGGATCATTAGGTATAAAATATTACATAGGGATCATTAGGTATAAATTTTTTACATAGGGATCATTAGGTATAAATATTTTACATAGGGATCATTAGGTATAATTTTTTTACATGGGGATCATTAGGTATAAATATTTTACATAGTGATCATTAGGTATAAATATTTTACATAGGGATCATTAGGTATAAATATTTTACATAGGGATCATTAGGTATAAATTTTTTACATTGGGATCATTAGGTATAAAAAATTTTCATAGGGATCTTTAGGTTTAATTTTTTTACATAGGGATCATTAAGTAAAGAAATTTGAAACAAAAATTTGAAAAAAAACTGAAAAGTTTAAAAAAAAAATTTGAAAAAAAAAATTGAAAAAAAATTTAAAAAAGTTTGAAAAAAATTTGAAAAAAAAAATGAAAAAAAATTTGAAAAAAAATTTTTTTTTGGAAATTTTTGGATGAAAAAATTTTTTGGAAAAATTTTTACATAGGGATCATTAGCTATAAATATTTTACATAGGGATCATTAGGTATAAATATTTTACATTGGGAGCATTAGGTATAAATATTTACATAGGGATCATTAGGTATAATCTATACCCAATGATCCCTGTAGGGATCACCCCCCCCCCCCCGATCCCAGTGTCGTATATCTATACTACTTCGACTTTTGATTTTTTCCAACTCTATTTTCCCAGAGCCAGAACAGTTTTTGTACCAAAAAAAAATTTAACCATCACGTGATGTTTACTGCTGTGAAGGAAATGGGCAGGACTTTTATGAAAAACTAACAAGTTTGGGATCTCCAAAAACTGCGCGAAAAAAACTGCGCGAGTTTCTTCACTATGTTCATTGACACTTAATAAAAAAACACAGCCAACAGCAAACGACACATTGCTCTATAAAATGAGTGCTCAAGTGAGGCAGGGGGAGATAAAAAAAAGATATATCGGAAACATAGCCAACTGAGAGTTGAAAAAGTGCTATGAACGCAAGCAATCTTTTTGAACTTCAAGAACAATTTATGATTGATAAAACGAACCCAATTTGAGATATCTGGATCAATAGGTAAATTTTTATTTCAGCTCGGAAATCTGAACATAAATTCAACTTTCGAAAATAGAAGTCGATCACTTTTTCGTGACCTGTACTGTTCGATAGTGGAGCTTGCCTTCATGTGGATTCAACTTAACTGCGCTGAACTTAATGAGTGTCAATACTCAACTTCGTGAAGAAATCGGGTTTATGTATAATAAATAAGAAATTTCTTTTATTTATAAGTTTACGCATAATTACAAACTTGGCAAAAGTGATCTAGTTTATAAAATTTTTCAACAAAATTTTTCGAAAACAGTAAAAATGTTGTTAAAAAACAGAAACAAAATGAAACATATTTTGTTAACTGCTATCAGAGGTTGCGAATATATCCTGGAAATATGGCTTTCTAATTATTTATAGTTTTCTAGAAATCGTACAATTTATGAATTTAGCGGTCTTTCAAACAACTTGAAACTGCAAAAGTCGTATTTTGCGAACGTCGAATTCTGAAAATAGCTAGGTTGTAAGTTAAGATTACTCTTTACATCAAATATCAAAATGATTGAGATTTCAAAATTTTTCAAAAAAAAACTAGATTTAAATCTTTTTTTGAATGTTTTCAACTGAACCTATATACATGGCTCTGTTAAGCATGAAGCATGAGGCAAAAAAGCAGCTCTGTTAAGTGAAATAGGAAAAAGTAAAAATAAGTCTCAAATTAGTTTAAAAAAATTGCTACACCACGGATTCGAACCAAAGACTTCGAGATAAGGAATCTCACAATTTTCTTACTCGTCCACGTACGCTTATCAATCGACAAACAGTAGCCACAAATAAAGCAGATAATAGATGCTACGAATTTTCCAATGCTACAGATCGTGATTATAACAGAAGTGCCACCAAATGAGCACTTCTATTTGCGAGTTAGATGGGAAAAAACCAAGTTTATATGAAAACACTACGCTCACCATCTTACTAGTGTAATTTTAAAAAGTTATTAATATATTTATAATCAAGCGACATTATAGTCATTAATTTCCAGGATAGACTCTCAGTGGGTATTTATTTTGCCCTTCGTCTAACCTCTCCTTAGTCATTGTCTTTCTTTGAAAGATGTTTAATGATGTTGAAAAAAACGTCTTTCTAATTTAAAAAACATCAAAAGTCAAACAACGAAAAATCAAAAATGAGCATCGTGAACAAATTTGAAGACTTTTCCCTAAAACACAAGCAAAAAATCATCAAGACCTATCTGAGAGTACCACTACGATCATTATTCTTAAAAAGGTGCGCGTTTACTCAGATGATCAAATACTACACACCTTCTGGGCGAAGTCTGGTTCAACTGGAAACCCTCTACGTCTGCCACATATGCCAGCATCTTAGTCCGCTCCACATGTTTGAGAAAGCGGTGACCCAGGCCAATATTCTCACTCGCCCCCTCAATCAGTCCAGGGGTGTCTGCCACTGAGATCTGCCGCAGGTCTCCGTACCTGACGTGACCTACATTGGGGTGGAGGGTAGTGAACGGGAAAGCGGTGATGGATGGCTTTGCTTCCGATATACGGGCTAAAAACAAACAAGCTACTCAGCCCATATACACCACATGCGGTGATTATATGTTCTACAATTAAAAGGAACAAAAAACATCAAACGCGAAATACTAAATGATTCAGAGAAAAACTCATCTGCAAATTGCACTATGGATAGAAAAAAAACTTGCAACAAAAACAGTTGCAAGTTTCATTTTTGTGCACTAACTTTACTTTGGGAAATTCAGAACTTCCCCCATTTTATATCGATAATTAGTTTTTCATTTTTAAATAATGTTCACCCCTATTTGGGTGCTGACAAAAGTGTAAAATTGGGTTGCGAAATTTCGCTAAATCTATGGGTCTCTGAAGCATTATTTTTTTTCTTCTTTCTGTTTCAAGAGCAAATAAGTGATTGTAAGGTTGTAGTGGTTGTTTTTTGTGCTATCCGGCCTCTGAGTTTGACCTGACGAATTACGAAGTTTTCCTCAAAAAATAATGATGGTTTTTCTTTTTGATTTTATAATTTTTTCTCTTTGTGATTTATTGCTTGTTTCAATTGTTGTGCAGATAATGGCAACAAGACTGGATTTCTGATTGTCTTGTTGCTATTCGTTCTCTAGGATCAGCCACTTTTTCGAATTTTTAAAAAACTTTGAAATACGTAATTTATTTAAGTTTTAATATTATATGTATTACTTTCTTTAATATGTATCTTTGATTCGTTAAATAATTTTGATTGTAATGATGCTCAAGAGTAGGCTCCAAAAGAGCATCATGTATGCCTTTCGCTTATCCTCTCCAGGATTTTTTCTTTTCATAAATTTAACGTAAATTGATTTTGTTGAATTAATGAAAGTTTTTGTGTATTGTATTGTTCGATGCACGATGTAATTATATAATGGAGAAATAAATTCTTTCTTTCTTTCTAGTTGATGGATAATTACCCTAATGCTTGCGATAAACTTAATAAACAACTCTTTCAGTTTGCAAAGTTGATGTTCCTGAGTAATTTAAACCGAAAAAGGGAGGCAGCCCTTTGGGGTTTCAGAGTTTAGGTTAGCATGGCTAATTATGTGCGCAAACATTGCGACCAGGCTTACATTATCAACAAATTGTATATCCAAAATCATTGCAACACAGGATGTAATTTGCCACAAAATTTTCAACACAGAGGCAGAGCTTCGCTTCGCAAACACTAGCAAGAACACAACAAAAAGCAGCTATAGTTTCGGCTAAGTCTAGGATTCGATCTACAACCTACTGCAATCAAGAGATTTTGAGTCTCAAATCACTCAGCAGCGCACGCTTAACCACCGGCAAACACTAGTCACGAATAAAGCAGCTACATAGCTAATAAACTGCCAATGCCATTCAGCAAAAGTGGCACAAAATACAAATAGACACACATTTGCTAGTAATAATTTGGAATGTAACAAACTGATGGTATGCACACTAACTTTGCATGTAACAAATCGCAAGCCTAAAGCTACACTATGCATAAATTATGCATTTCAAAAAATTGTAATCATGGACAAAACAATATTAAACAAACAAAAAACACAGAAAACTGGATAAAAACTTTCTCTTTGCCACCTTTTGACACATCCAAACCTCTCCAATATTATTGAGAAACATCTGCTTGTTCGATCGAACTCAGTTCACAAAAGAAATTCTACAGTGTCGACTTGGATGAAATTAATCAACTGATCTCGCATAATTTACAGAAGTCAAACAATGATTCTATCATCCTCTGCCTTTTAGCTGCATTTGACAGAGTGAATTCCTAATTATTACTTAAAATCATTGAAAGCGAAGCAAAAAACTTTGATATCGATGGTATACGTAATTTAAACGACGGGGTAGATTTTACATCATACACATTTTATAAAACAAATCATAAACGTTTCCTCTGAGACCTTAAAAGTTGACACTGATGTTCCGCGAGGACCTCTATTGGATCCTATTTTAATCTCTCTTTACCTAGCTGAGCTGAATTTTTTTCTTGAAAAATGAATTGGCGTATCACATAGGAGCGGATTTTTGAAAATATCAATTTTAATTTAAATAACTTTAAAAAAATACATCCCAAAAATTGAAGCAAAATAAAGCTTGTTAAATACCTTTTGGTTCCATTCATGAAAAAATGATCGAACGCAAGGTAAAAACTCGCTACACGTTTCCCCAAGAAAACTTTTAAAAAATTAATGTCGCATACATTCTGAATTTCCTGAACGATCATGTCATAGGAATCGCCGATCTTTTCTTTTTTTTTCGAATGCAAGGGATGGCATTTTTAAAGCCAGCGCTAAATCGTGATTCGTTTCGTAGGTCACTTTCAGACTCAATTCATTAATTTTTCTCATGTAACTCTGGGAGAGATGGAAAAAACACACCGATAAATGTGCTTCGGGGAATGATTTTTGGAAGGACTGAAGAGCAGCTTGCTCAAAATCTAACAAAATTTTTTCAGGCCGACAGTTGGGTGCTAAATCAATTAACGCCTGCAAGACGTGATTGTAGGTTTTTTCGGTTTTGTTAGGAAGGAAGGCGTAAATGCAAGCTGGCGCAATGCCAGATACACTAACATGAATTGAATATAATGATAGAACATTTTTGGAGTAATTTTAAAAGTTCCATCGGCTAACCAGAAAGATGACTTCTCCAGAACTCTCAGCATTTCGGGGTCGCTGCACAAAATGATTCGCTCATGATCATTTGATCTACTGTCATAACGGATAAACTTTTCAAAAATTTCAAGGATCTCGAAATTTCGCGCAACGGGGATGGGCGGCATATTTACATCTAGCTGCTTACGAGTGCGCGCAGCCGTTCGGATCAGTTTGTCTTTACTTGGGAGGGCAAACTGAGTGGCCAATTAGTTTGTAATTGGCAACACCGCACTGGCAACTGCAACAGTCGGGGTAAATCTCTCGCCGAGATCTTTTATATGCTTAATGACATTTCGGGCCTCCAATTTTCCCGCTGAAATGTCGTGGTTATGCTCCCCACGCGTCTCGATTAATTCGTTATTTTCAGTAATGGCAGTTGCTCGACATGTATGTGTTTGATATTTTGAGCAAATCCAGTTTTCTGTAAACTTATTTTTTCGCTTGAATTAAAACTCGTGGCCGGACGCTATAAGCATTGGCTTGTTTTTAGATGAAACTGTGAACTCGAAAGAAGACTCAATCATAATGTGTTTATTGTGTTTGCGTTTGTTTATCACTTGGGTAAAGTATAAAGTGACTGTCAGAATTTCATTTTTTTTCAGAATATTTACGCCAAATTGTTATGAATTAGCACAAGCAGCTTTTTTAAGTAATCAAGTTTAGCGAAAAGTTTAATTGAAAATAAATTACAAACTTGTTAATAAGTGTCTTAAGTAAATTAGGAAGCCTCCTTTTAACATGTATAACTAAGATAAACCGAGTTTTTCATTATGGTGCGTGCTTTAATTGCAGGATTAACTTTGGTGTGATAAGAGTTAAGATAAGGAATTCATACAGCATTAATTTCAATAGTGAAATGACTAGGTGTTAAAATGTACTGTGTTAAACTGGAAAATAGGAGTTATATTGTTGTCGATTTAAATTTATGACATGTAGTGAAATGACTAAGTGTTAAAATGTACGGTGTTAAATTGTATGTCATTAAATTGTAGGACACCATGAAGTCCAATTAGGAACAATATGGAAACAATATTTAAAAAATCAACTCAATTTTATCCGAGAAAATGTTTGAAAGCTTTGCAATATAACACCAGTGGAAGACTTGTACATAATGCGTTTTCTTTTAATTTTTTAAATAAATTAAAAGAAAAATTACAATATCCGAGAGCAGGGGCGTGTCTAAGATTTTCTCTTGGGAGAGGGGATTTTCAAAAAAATGTCGAGAAGTTTATCGGCCTTTTTTAGTCGACCTTTTTTTCCTTCCACTATAAAGGCCCCATTTTGACCAAATTTTTTGAAACACGCCAATCAAAAAATTTGATCAAAATAAGGTAGACAAAGAAACTTGGAGTGAGTAAATAATTATAGATCAGATTTATCTCAAATGCTGATCAATAATGACATCTTGACCCCACATATTTGTGTTTCCACCAGAAAACATCTAAAAAATGAACCCTTTTGACAATTAAAACCTTTAAAAATGAGTTAAAACTGACCAGAAAAATTAAACTCTGAAAAAATGAGTCATCTCATCTCATCTGCTATAACATTCAATTTTATTTTTCAAAAAGGTAAACTTTTTCAATTTTCACATCTAACTTACAAAGTAGAGTTGATTTGCCTGCATTGGGAAATCCGACCAGTCCGACGTCTGCGATCAGTCTGAGGTAGAGTTTGAAGCTGCCGAAGGATCCCTTGCTGGACTTGAACTCATTCTTCGGACTGCCTCCTTCGCCCCCTCTGGCCACTTGCACCATGTCTCCCTCTCGGTCAAGGTCAATCAGGGGCTTACCTGCAGACAACAGAACATGCTCTTCACACCAGCTTTGAAAGATAATTTTAGTATTTACTATTTGCGAGTGATAGTATTTACTTTTTGAACGTAGATCTCTGACTTAATTGGCTATGATAGCGAAGGTGAACTTCCTGCGCATCCGATTTTCAAATAGAAAAGAGGGTCGCGCACCAGAATTATTTGTGCTCTTTCCTTGAGGCAACATTTCCCAGTCAAAACAAAGAAATTAGTTTTTCGCAGAAGTATCAGCTACGGTTCTCCTTGAACAGCTCGTAAGTCAACCGATCCCTTCACTAATCCATGATTTCAACTAGCAAAAATTTGAAACAAGTTCCATTCACACTGGGCATTTATCTTATCTTCATTTAATGAAATGATTCTTCTTCGAGTGATTTTATGACCTGACGAAAAATCTTGATAAAACTGAAGCGTACCAACTTATCATCATTTCAAGGCATACCTTTCATGTCGCATACAGATGTTCCAAGTGGCACTTTGACAGTGAGGTCTTGCCCCCTCTCTCCCTTGATACTCCTCTTCTGACTCGACACCCCGTCCTCTCCCTTCAGCTTCAACACACTCCAACTCCCACCACCACCACGTGCACTAGGCTGCAAGTCACTCATCCTGAAAAAAAAAACAATTCACATGTGTGCGCGTATCCGGTCGACACTCTGAATATTTCATTTTTATAATTTCAAAATATCTTTAAAACCTACTCTTACAAGTACTCAAGTAATACCAATAAAATATACGCTCGGGTCAAAGACTTCGGTCGGAATTTTTTGTCTGCGGCAGTTTTCACAATCTTTTTAGATCAGTAATTACTGTTGTTGTTGTGTGTGACGGCCTTCTATCTTAAAAAAAGGGGGCCCAGTCTTCTGAATAAAATTCAGAACGTTCTTGGGGGCTGTCTGCAGCAATTACTATATTTTTCTGTCGAAATACTATTATGACTGGCAATTTTCATCAAGCTACTGAGTTTTTTTCTTAAAAAACTATTTCCTAAGGCACGTTAAACTGCAGTCTACCAAACATTCAGGGCTTCACCTTTATTCGAGAAGTTTGCCGATGAATATGTCTTAAGTGCACTTATAATTAAACATAAATCTACAGCAAATTGGCCAAATTGACGATTTTCGAAATATTTTTTTATTGTTGCTCTCAGCATCCTATATCTTCAATGTGGTATAAAAGATGTGCTAACCATTATTTCGAAAATCTACAAAAACTTTCTGATGTTAACCTTAAATTTGCACTAAGAGTATTAGTAACTTTTTGGCGTTGTCAATAACAATTTCAAACCATACAAAGCCTGATTTCCACTTCTTTCTCTTAAATGTAATACTTACGCATTTTAACGAAGCGAAATACAGTATTTAATTTTTCGGAAGTAATGTTAGTTTAATAATCGGGATGCTTTCAATTGAATTGAGCAAAAACTGCTCTGATTTTTATGTCAATTACCTTTTAAAGTGAAAATTTTGATAGCCATTTTAAAGGAAAATTTTGATAATTAAGAAGTTTTCAATCTGATCAACCAAAAACTGCATTGATGCGAAAAGCAATTAGTTATTAAAGGAAGATGTAATAATCTTTTGTTTGTTTATGGGAGGGTCGAAACTCTCAACTTGGGGAGGGTTCTATGCTTGAAGGACCAAATGCTTGAAAAGTTTCAACCAATCAAAATCGCTAAGCGTTCCTATTGGCTAAATGCATTTCTCACAAAATCGAAGTCAATATTAACAGAAACTGTTTCAAATCAGTGGATAAAAATAAAAAAAATTACAACCGCTATACTAATCAGATAAACATCAAGACTTATGAGTTCAAGTTCATAAGAATTTTTCAATCTTGAAAACTCATCTGCTTATTATCTAATCGGTCAGTATTAACACTAATGGCTTGGATTTCTTTTACTTCGAGATTTTCACTATTTACTTTGAGATTTTGAATACTCAATTCTGATTGGCTGAAAGTAAGCTAAAATAAATTTCAAGCATTCGGTCCTACAAGCATGAGGGACGCCACCTCTCAACTTGTTTTGAGACAATTTTTTTCTCTCTTTTTCAGTTAGCAAATGCGGGAGTGCGGTCTGTATTTAGACGATTACCATAAGCAGACGATTACCATATTAACCAATCAGAATCGAGATGAGAAAGCAAATTTACGGTGCGTACCCACGGAGCCGCATTCCCGGATAGCCGCAAAACTAAACTTCCCAGTTTTAATTAAATTAAATTAGAAAACTCTTCACTAAATTGAGACGCATTTTGATTGGACGAAAAAGTGCTTCAAAATTTTGCAGCCTGTTAGCTAACAAAATTCCGAACAATTTTAGGAGATTTGATTGGCTAATACTTTTACTCTCATTGAATTAATTAACAACCAAAGTCCGACAACTAGAGGGATTCGACCCACTCACTAACCAAAGGTTCCCTCCCTCTCGGCCGACAAGCCCTAAAATTTTTCAATATATACTAAGTTTAAAGGGGAGCACGCACTGAAAAACGCAGTTTTTGGTCAAATTATTTCAAAAAGTCTTAAAAACGGCATTTTTGGCCTGCTTTTTTAAAAACATTTGTCACCCCATCCCCTCGAGCAAATCCTAGATCGGATCAACTGTACAGTTTCCTCCGCAAATTGATTTAAGGGGGAGAAAGTATGGACTTATTTTTGGGCTATCCGGGAACGAGTTTATTTTTCGGCTATCCGGGAACGAATTTATTTTTCGACTATCCGGGTATTCGGCTCCGTGACACGCCACCAAATTTACGAAATAATTAATTAATAATTATTCATTTCTTCCTTGTCTCGATTCTCATTGGTTGATACAGTATTTGTCTAACTACTGACGAGTCTGAATAAGCGGTTGTCTAAAAACTGCTACGCAACCGCCAATGCGTTTCACAGAATAATTGCTAATTTTACAATGCTCTTGACGCGTCTGTGACACTAATTAGTTCTGTGAATTTACTACTCAGAACTGAAATCTAATTTAAATTTGGAAATCATGGCATCAATATCTTAATCTCAAGTGTAAAAACTTGACATCTCGTAATTAGGAAACCAGACTAAAACAGTTATTTCGAAATTTTATTCACATCAGATTTAACTATTTGATAAGTGTTGAATATATGCCTACATACACAAAATCAGCACAATGCGCAGGGTGATGAAGCTTGGTAAGAGCATGGAGAATTCAGAGAGACAGAAAACAGCAACGCATACACTTACTTCTTCTTAGCATCTGCTACCAAGTAGACATCTCCCCCGTCCCCTCCCACCCCTCCAAACTTAGCCAGTCCCGCCCCACTTCTACCCCCGTACACATTACACACTACATGGTCCACGAATCTCTGATCCCTCACCCCCAGAGCCTTCCTCCAGTTGTAGTCTGCAGTGTCTATTCGTTCCACCCCACCTGGGGAAGAGACATGGGGTGGGTGCGAAGAAAATGAGTTGGGTGGAGGATCATCTGAAGCCGTTTTTGTTGATTTCGGATGAAGATGGTCATCTCGGAAGCCGTAAATCAGAAAAAAGGTCTTAAGCCAGGCAAGAATTAAGCAATTAACAAAATGAAATAAAAATTAGGGCTCTGTCGTAAAATCCAGTTTTGGACAATTTGAAGTTAAAAAATTTTCACGAGAAAAAAATGTTCGCGTTCACTGTTTTCCTAGTGCGTGTTATCTTTTAATTAATCATTTCTACTACCTCGTTTCAAAATAAATTAAACCAAAAAAATTTACCATTCTGATGCCTGTGTGAGTTTGAAATCATCCCATTCCCAGCATCTGTATCTGAGAAATATTTGCGTGACTTCAATCTGAGAAAAGTTAATTTCTGTTTGTTGAAGCTTTGCCTGAGAAGACCATTCTTCACGAAAGATTGACAACAAAAATGACACGTCCAAAAAGAAGATGCCGAATTCATCTTATTATCTAAAAATTGAGAACGAGGAAAGCGATTTTGAAAATTGAACTAGCATGGATGCAACAACTCAGCCCTGATATCCAAGAAAAATAACAAAATATAAGCTAGTCTAGAACCAAATCCTTACTTCTGTCCACAAACATGGCTAACGTTTTCAACCACAAGTAAAAAAAAAAAACGAGAAATCTCTTTAAATTGATTTTAATTCTTTGTATCATGCACATCAACAAATAAATCTCAAACTGATAAAAAGGTCCTAAGTGTCAATAAAGCCATTAAAGGTATCAATGAGCAACTGCTGAACTAGATTCAAATCATATTTTTGGCGGAAAAAATTGCGAGAGCATCGATTCCTGCTGAGGAAAAAAACATAGTATAGTTCGCAAAAAAGTAGTTTCGTTGAGTGACCTGTAGCATGGTTAGGTGTCACGACACTCGAAAACCAACATATTAATAAGTTGAACAATTTCAATAGCGACAAAATGCTGCCGATTTGAAATTCAGCCAAAAAAGTATGCAGACAATTCACCCAAAGACAATTCAGCCTATAATAGTGACCGCCGCAGTTGCGCCAACGTGTTGCGAGCTTGCCAACAGAGGGTAGGACTCTATACAGAACTTAGAGCCGGTTATCGCCGCGAAACGGCGACGCGCGCGTAGCGCGCCCTATCGGCGACCTCAAATCGGGAATTAACTCCAATTCCGATTTTTTCTTTTGAATCTAGCGTTTTGTAAAACTGGCTGAATTGTCTCAGGCTGAATTGTCTGTATATTTCTGGCTGAATTTCAAATTGGCTGAAATGTCTTTGGCCGAATTGTCTGTGCACCCTCTTTAACTATATCCACCTTTTGCAAAAGGGGGATATCCGTTACTAAATATAAAATTCTCATATGATTAACCGTTGATTTATTTCAGTATAGGGTGATATTCGTTACTAGGTAGAGAGGTCCGCTTCGTATTACCTATGGCAACAGTTTGATTACCTAGAACCGAAACAACAAGAAATTGAATTCATCAAAACTTTGAAAAGGGAAGTTGCCAAGCAACAAACAATTGATCAATAATTTGACTTAGAAGAAATACAACCAAAGCGTCATCGCTCGCTCCATATGAACTTAATGCAAACACTTAAGGTTGGTAGTAAGGTGCATTAGAAAGACGAGTTTTATATTAATTGATGAAGTCATCGGGAAAATCGTGGCATCAAATTAAATCGTCCCTGGATACATAGCCAGGGGAAAACCTACGACATCAAGCCAACAGCTTGAAGAGTCCAGGAACCCTGCCAGGATGTCTAAGCTTTTTGTCTGACAACTGCAAATAAAACATAAAATTTGAACCTACAATTTTCATAAAACATATCGAAAAAGACATCGAGGCATCAAAGAGATTTACTACGAAATAATCCTTGGACGCCAGACCTGGACACCTGCAAGGAACCTACGCAGTAAAACCAGGAAAGCAACGGTTTTACAAAGAAATACCCAAGATCGATTGAATTTGGTTTGTATGTGATCTTGAACCAAAAATTCGCTTCAAACATTGCAGCCTAACTTGTACAGTGAAGATTTATCGTTTTTTTCAAGTTTTCTTTGTTTCATTTAATTTTGTAAATTGAAAAAAGTCTCCAGTGATTCTATTTAACCTGAGATTAAAACCAGCCTTTTTGGAGACCAAAAACACTCACGACCAGCTCAGATTTACAAATTTGACGAAAGCAAACCAGTAGTATTGTATCGTGACCCGGATCCTAAGGTGGGGTCCTTCCTAAGGGGGGGGGGGTGGTCCTCACGTTCACGTAAAGCAAAATCCTAGGAGAGGGTCCTTAATTTTTTGGAGGACCCTCATTCTAGGATTTTGTAACCGAAAGAAGGTTTCCACCCAAAAAGCAGAAGACCCCATACTTAGGATCTTGCTAAATTTAGCTTAACAACAAGAGACACGATACAAAATTCTTTCTAATTCCAAATTTTTGGGTCCTAACTATTGATCCTGGTTAATTATATGAATCATACTAATTGTTATATTTTCTTCGGGCAAATGAACTTTCGACCTAGTTGAAATTGGTTAGTGAAAGTGGTGGAATTGACTTTTATGGTATATAATAAAAATTCTCCGGCGATTTTGGCAGCGTAGCTTAACTGTTGGCAGTTAAGCTACGCTACCAAAAAACCCTAATTCCTTAACTTGACCTTAACTAATTCCTTAACTTGACCTCTATTTTATAGTGAAAAGGCAGTGAATTGAAACTACTCTCCAAAGGCGGCGGCCGTTTCTGGGCAAAATATACCAAATGATAAATGTGTTGGCTACTGAAGATATTGATAATGAACATTTACAATTAGGAGTGTCTTCAACCACCGAAAAAATGCATTTTTCAAATTCTGTAATGAACGCTACGTCGTGTTTCTCGAAAGGGCAAAGGAAATTTCAAAGAAAGAAAACGAGTTAATTTTCAAAGAACAGTTTTATTTTAGTGAGCTTCGTCAAATCTCTTGGTGCATTTCTACAAAACAAAAGTATGGCACTGTGAGCGATTTGAATAATGCTGATTACGAAAACGTATTCGACTATTCGTTTGATTTTAACTCAATATGGGTTGATAAAGACTTGTCTGCAATGTGAAAAAATCGTTTAAGAGGAGGGGATGTGAAGGTTTCAAGAAGCGAGTACAATCATGCCTTAAACGTTTTCGCCGAACTGAAGTGTGGTTCACCGACTTGTACTTGACTACAGATCTGCTATGACTTGATTCCGTTTTCGAAGCTTTTCGTAAAGTTTGCTATCAAAACTTATGGGCTGGATTGCGCCTGCTACTTCACGGCAAAAAACGTTTCCGGGGACGCCTTTCTAAAAATTTGTACGCCCGACCTGAAACTGTAAACGGACTGTGAACATCTGGACTTTGTGCAGCGACTGATACGCGAGGAGGGATGTCGTCGGTTTACACGCGCCGATTTTACAAGGCAAACAATAAATACCTCGACGATTTTTCGCCCTGAGAACCAACAAGCTACATCCTCAAAATTGATGCAAAAAAATTGTACGCAGGGACCATGAAACAATGCCCTTTGCCATTTTCACGATTTTTCAATAGCGACCAAACGATTTTTCAATAGTTGAAAAAAGTCAGGAAGACATACTGCTCACCAGCGAAACCTCAGAGTGGGGTTATATAGGGGAGGTCAATTTGACCATACCCGAAGAGCTTCAAGAATTCTTTGCTGATTAACCCCTTGCCCCCTCTCGGGAAGTAGAGGACATGGGTGCAATGAGCAACGAACAAGTCGACATGTTGAGAAAATTGGAAATCACCACGCTGCCAAAAAAGCCAAAGCTTCTACAGACCTTGCAACCTAAAGAAGGTTATGTTTTGCATTACCTTACCCTAAAGTTGTACCACGAGCTGGGAATGAAAATAACTCACCTTGGAAAAATTCTTCAGTTCCGCCAAAGTCACTGGATGGCACCCTTAGTAGACCTCAAAACCCGTCTACGAAAAGCCGCGGTAAATAAATTCTAGGAGAACTTTTACAAGTTAATTGTAAATTCAGCATTCGGTAAGACAATGGAGTCTAAGCTAGGAAGAAAGAAACTGGAGATTGTAAAGAATGAGAGAGAACTTCTACAAAAAACAGCTCTGAGCACAACGAAGAGCTTTCAAATCATTGACGATCAATTAGCCACAATCAACTTTCCAGTAACAAAAATATTGTGGGACAAACCTATGATAGTTGGTGCGACCATCCTAGACCTCGTCAAGCGTTTCATGTTTCAGTTTCATTATCAAAAAAAGAAACCGAATCTAAACTTGGAACTACTATACTCCGACACAGATAATTTTTTTTATGCCATAAAAACTGACCACGTTTACCGAGACTTAGAGAAAATAAAATCTGATTTCGACTTTTCAAATTATGATGAGGACCATTTCTTGTTCGACGATACCAACAGGAAAATTGTGCTGAAGTTCAAAGACGAGACTGGTGGGAAGCCGATCAGAGAATTCATCGCCCTGAAACCGAAACTATATTCGGTAGTCCTTAATGGTAAGTAAAAATTCCAACTTAAAACACCCTATCACCCACATTCCCATGTTTTTACAGAACAAAATTACCAACACCACCACCACCAACCTCCCTCCCTTAATCTGTTGCAACAAACTAAGGTCATTTAGCTAATTTAGGCAACATTAAACAATGTTGGTTAAACGTTAAATTATTTGAACACATATTTCTTCTCTTTTCCTCCTTTTCAACCAACATTTAGTCTTCTGCTTTTCTTTGGTAAAATGAATAAAACTTTGTTCGGTGAAAATTGAGTTGCTGAAGTGAATTGAAATTAACCCCTGCCTTGTAGAAAAGAATCATAATTTTGGTTCTGTTTAGAAGGCTCTCAAAAATTTAGGAATAAAACGGAGTACACAGCGAGAACTGGTCCACCAAACCTTCAGGTACACATTATTCACTGGAAAAACAATGAGAGTGTACAACTATAATATAGTTTCGAAAGTTCACACCAATATGACAGTGAAACAAAACAAACTTGCATTATCACCATTCGACTCAAAACGTTTTCTCCCTTTCGACGCAACTTCGACAGTGCCCTTTGGCCATAAAACCGCCGAAGAAAATGCATTTCTAGAAGACATTTAGATGGACACCGAGTGGGCCAACTCATACAATGAAACTGATAACAGTTCGCCCGAATTTCAACTTTTTACAGCGTCCCTACTTGAAAACAGAACTGCGAGAAGAAGAAGCTTCTAAAAGCCGAGTCCCTGAACGTCCCCCTGTAAATAACCCATTTATTTTATCGGAAGCTTCAGAAGAAAGACCATCTAAAAACAGCGAAAAGAAAACCAAAACAATAAACATTAAATTCTGAAACATATATTTTGTGATGACTTTTACATCTTTTTTCAATTTCTAACTCAGCACATCATATATTAGTTATCATGGGAAAAAAGATTAAGCTGAAACAAAAGTTCGGTGTAACTGTCAACACTCCGCTTTAGCGTACCAACAGAAACTACAAAAATGAGCAAAAGTGGCAAAGCTAATCAAAACAATGTCAGACTTGCAATTTTTGTTTTTTCCTACTCAAAATAACATAAAATTATTTGTTGTCATGAAAAATTAGCTGAAAAACTTTTTGCACAGACATATATTGAATTTTTGAACTTGATGGCTTCCCAAAAGAAGTAAGTCAATGACATAGGAAGGATAGTCTCCAGTACAAAAAAATTCCAAAAACCTGTTATAGCGTAAAATTTGAACAGAATTTTCATGTTAACTTTTGTACAATGGATTTTGAGTACAAATCGAACCAAATATCGAGCCAAGTCTTAAACATTTTCTAAGCTAACATGAACAAAAATTCCAAAAACCTAGGAAAACTAGGTTTTTACACATTATTTTTAAACGTATTAACTTTTGAATTCGGCCCAGAACTTGCTTTTGTTCCCACTAACGAAAAATGGCACAAAAAAAATTTAGATTTTTCAGTTCCTTAACTCCAAAACTATTTTGTTGAGTAGTTGTTTGAGTCGACTTCTCACCTCAGGTTTTACTCCTAGTTGTCTCAAACTAATAATTATTCACTCAACTTGACCGTTTTAGTATATTTCTTTTATCGGTCAGTTACCGAAACGAAGCATATCGACCTCAAAAACTTTCCCCAATGTCAAGGCCTGAATTTCGCAGTACTTGTGAGTTTTGGTTCGAATTGATTTCTTATCTCAGGTTTTACGCCAAGTGGTTGTCTAATTTTTAAATCAAAACCTCAACTTGTCTGCCTCTGCTGCGGCCCGTTGAGTCTTCAATCCATTAACATACCACGTTAATCCATAACCGTTGAATTTACTTTACCGTATACAAAGACATCGCATCCAGTAAACCCACACCTAAAATTTATTTTACGGTCCTACCTTAATATTTAACCAACTTGAAGTAGCGTTTTCACATCTATCATGATTCATCTTGGGAGCGAGCTCTCTCTCTTATGCTATTTAAGCCCAACTCCGAAAGCTGAAAAATAGATAACAAAAGGATTTCTTCTTATAATTAAATTTTTGCAATCTTACGAATCGTACGAATCTTGAAAATGTTTAAGAAGTTATACACAAGTTGCAAATGAATTAAGAAATTTTTGCCATGATCTCGAAATAGACTTTTTTGGTCGGTATCTAAAAAATGAGGGTCTCAAAATAGGCTCTATGTCGGAAATTTGGGAGAGTGCGTTATTCAGGATACCTTTGGCGCTTTTTTCAGAATCGAAGTTTTTTTCTTCTTCGAACTCTTTGTTCGCTGTTGTGAAAGAATATGTTACCGTCAACGAAGTAAATTTGCTTGAAGCTGCTCAAACTTCTATAGGTTTTATTTACGAGTTGTCTGATTTGAGTGATTTTAAAGTAAAACCCCTGGATAATTTGAAATACAAGTCAGTTGTTCTTTCACTTGGGGATAAAAGTCTTGTGAGCGTAATGCGGGAAGGGTTTGAACATCACTAAAAACACTTTCAATTCAATCAGTCAAAGTTTTTCTATCTCTAGCTTAGTCTTTTTTGACTACTGTGCTTTGTTTTTAGCATTCTGATAATTGGAGATCCAAATACCCAGCGGCGCATGCAGGATAGAATTGTAAATGATAATCTCCTTTGGCGATATCCCATCACGGTACACGGCGTAAGTGGCCTGAGAGCCTACAACTTGGGGCACCAAGAAGTCGAGATGGCCAGATTGCATACTCATGTAATTATTATAGTGGGAAATAACGATCTGTCTCAATGGAAAAATCTGCCCGATTATACTTCTCTGAAAACGGCAACTAATTTGTTTAATGTTGTGAATCTCCTGAGAAATAATGGACTAGTTGTAGCCTTGGTGGGAGTGTTCAAACGCTTGGACATTCCTGTTGCCGTTGCCACTGAAACCAATGGCTATCTCGTTTCTTGGTTGCCTCAAGGAGTTTATGTTAAACCCAGAATTACTCGAAAGCATTTCCTACCAAATGACCGCTTTCACTTAAATGCCATGGGGCAATTGAACGAGCCGGAATTGCTGAACAGAGTTAAAGTTCAGAACTTTGGATTCTAAATAAAAAATACCTGGTTTGTCTAGAACTGTTTTTAAGATGATCTTTCCACAAGTTTGATTTCAATGGCTCGATAGTTTCGTGTTTCTTTCACGAAAACTTTAAAGAAAAACTAAAAAATCTATCAAGAACCATCCAAAAACAATTCCGTTTTGCGGCAAGCCCCTTCAAATGTTCGAGCTCAAATAATACGTCTTGTTCTAGAAAAGCTGAATAATTGTTATCTTATCAAGTGTTACCGAATGGATAAGTATTGCCGAATAATTTTTGATTTTCACTCGAAATAACAGCAGTCTTATCTCAAGTTTTTTTTCATTTTGTATTCACTCTATTGTCTTCTTAAAAGTTTTTTAGCTTTCAAATTTTTTGAGTGCGCTGGAGGTACCATTCAATTCAAAACTCATTCGTCAGTTTTCTTATTTTGATGTTAATATTTGGCAGGCATCTTGAGGCATGTTGCTAACTTTACATTTTGTTTTTCTTTATTACTGTGCTTAATTGTGAACTTTATTATGAAGCTGTTCGCAAAGTGTGCTGGAGAGCCCACTTTTTGAGAATTATTTTTCATCGCGAGCTGGAGAGCCCGCTTTTTTTATAGAGTTCTTATTTGTTTTCGTTGCCTTGGTTCTGCCGCTTGTGAATTTAGGGTTATGAAGTCTTCGGTGGTTAAGTTCCAGGAGATCCTAGTGCATCTGTTAGTGGCAACACATGCTATCATATCAACCCTTCTGGAAAGTTCCTCATTGGGGGAACACAGGTGAATATATACATGTGTATCAATTCATTATTGTGGATGAAAACTCCATTTTTGTGTTTGAATTCTTTTTGATCGATTTCTCAAATTAAAATATATTCACCTTTATGGAGAATTTTTTTCTTTTGGTTATCTGTTACGTCAAAACATGAGTGATGAAACTTGGAATCAATTATTTTTTTTCTTAATATTTCATCAGTGACCCTCTGACATGTTATGGTTTTTCGGACCCTTAAATGCTAAGATTCCATGTTGGGGTTATAAAATTGACCATTAAATCGTTCATTGTTTGACAAAAGTTCTCAAGTGGTGTATTTTTGAAACATGGAAAAAAGTACAAAATAATAGTCAATTATTTTCAATTTCCATGAAATCATTGCACATTTTCTAACTCTGCCTCCTATGTCAAATGGTGTTTTTCTAGAGCGACGCTAGGCTGACTACTGTGCTTTGCTTTTAGCATTCTGATAATTGGAGATTCAAATACCCAGCGGCGCATGCAGGATAGAATTGTAAATGATAATCTCCTTTGGCGATATCCCATCACGGTACACGGCGTAAGTGGCCTGAGAGCCTACCACTTGGGGCACCAAGAAGTCGAGATGGCCAGATTGCATACTCATTTAATTATTATAGTGGGAAATAACGAATAACAAACAAAGTTATCGAATTTTCAGAAAACTAACCGAATTTCGTTTCGAAAGTTCAAATTGCCAACCCTGTAGTTGGGGGCTTTCAGAGTACTTTAAGGTATTGCGAACCTTGCCTTCAATTATGACAGCTCAATTTTCTGTAGTTTTCAAGATATGACGTTTTTTATGATTTTTTGAAAAACTTAGATTTTAAAAAATTCCAAAACTTTGAAGATCTCAAATCTGTTGATCGATTTTGTGAGAGTGTTCTCAGGGGTTGCGAATCTTCCCTCTGATTACGACTGCTCAAAACCTTGTAGTTTTCGAGATGTGACGTTTTTTAGATTTTCTTAAAATGTTTCAGAGAAAGCAGATATAATTTTTTTAAACTTGAAATTACCATCTCTGTAGTGAGGCTCTGTCAGGGTAATCTCACGAGTTGCGAGTTTTGCCTCCAAATATGACTGCTCCAAACCTTGCAGTTTTCCAGATATGATGTTTTTTTGGATTTTTTCAAATGTTTTAAGAAAACTTAGACACTAAAAAATTCAAAAATTACCATAACTAAAAACTTGAAATTACAATATCTGTAGTGAGACTCTGTCAGGGTAATCTCAGGAGTTGTAAATTCTGCCGCCAAACATGACTGGTCAAATCCTTGTAGTTTTCGAGATATGACGTTTTTTATGATTTTCTCCGAAATTTTCAAAATACTTAAATGTTAAAAAATTCCAAAACTTTGAAGATCTCAATCCTCTAATTGGAATCTGTGAGGGTACTCTCAGGGGATTTGCGAATCTTGCTCTAATTATGGCTCCTCAAATTCTTGTAGTTTTCGAGATATGACGTTTTGTAAGGATTTTTTTCTAAATTTTTCAGAAAACTTAGGTATAAAAAATTTCGGAAAAATTGAATTATCTCTGTAGCGAGGCTCTTTCAGGGTACTCCCAGGAGTTGCGAGTTTTGTTTTCCAAAATGACTGCTCAAACCCTTATAGTTTTCGAGATATGACGTTTTTTATGTAACCTAAAAAACGTCATATCTCAAAAACTACAGGAATTTGAGCATTCAAATTCAGAGGCAAGATTCTAAACCCGCTGAGAGTACCCTCACATTTTCCAATAACAGGATTGAGATCTTCAAACTTTTGGAATTTTTTAACATTTAAGTTTTTTTGAAATTTTCGGAGAAATACATAAAAAACGTGATATCTCGAAAACTATAAGGATTTGAGCAGTCATTTTGGAAAGCAAAACTCGCAACTCCTGGGAGTACCCTGAAAGAGCCTCACTATAGAGATGATAACTCAAT